ACAGTGCATGAGGAATTAGACGTTAGGAATTACGCATACACAAAAATAGAACAATCAGAATATTAGTGGAAATATAAACAAGATTCCTTGATGTAATAAAACTGCCAGCAAAACCACCATCCGCTACTTCTACCCACCACTAACTGTGGCTCCTAATCATAGGGCCACCAAAGCAGAGATCCTTAAGTTAGACTACTTGTACCTTCTTTTTTCACACTCTTGCCCATTCAAGAACTTTAAGTATCTAAAAGTAGCATTCATCCATATCAAAAAGCTTGGTTTATGAAAGTAAAAATTCAATTTGATATTGATACATATTATTAAAAATCTACAATGTTTTTATTTATATTTGCATAAGTATTGAATTAAAATAGTATTGGGGGGAACAGATTTCTTTCAGATTGCATTTTCCAGTCCTGTTTTTTCCATCGTTTGTTCTTTATCAAGTTGTGATTTTTAAAAAAAAATCTGCATCAAAATGTTTACAAATTCCCTTACATTCTTCCCAACATATGCATTTATAAGAAATTTGTATATTTTATATGAAATATAACTTTTTCTGTGCATTGTTCAAAAAATATGACGATAAATGACTTTCTTCCTTTTCCATACTCATTTAATTCACATTTCAGGATGAACATACCTAATTCACACATGTAAAAAACTATATATTAATACTAACATTTTCACAAATATAATTGTATAATTTTCCAGTAAGAAAAATAACATTATGGAAACGTCCCACAAAAAAAAAGTATTTTAGGGGAAAATACAAACACAAGTTCTATAGAGAAAACTGCTTGTAAAATAAACGGATATTAGGAAAAGCACATATAAAATGTATATGTTACACATGCAACTTTTGTGCAGACTTTTAATTAATTTATTAAATTCACATCCCTCCATTTCTTCAGCTCAGATGGTTTACATAGCACTCCTCTCTTTTCCAAACTTTCCCTACAACAACTCTGTGAGGTAAGTTGAACTGAGAGAGAGTGACTGGCCCAAAGTCATCCAGTGAGCTTTCATGGGTGAGGATGGAATTGAACCAGGTCCCACCCTTCCTAGTCCAATCTCTAAACTGCTATGTCACATTGATTCTCACTTTTCCCCCCAGAAAAATGATGCAGAACTTATTCTAATCCAGGGTAAAAGAAAAAAAATATGACAAAATAATAAATTAAACCAATTTGAAATTAATGCATTTGTCCGTCTCTGCTAGTTAATACTTTTAGTTATATATACAATTATGGTTACCATTCCAATTGAAGTTGGTACCTAGTCAACCTTGGCTGATACTGAAAAAGCTAACCAAGATTGGACCTGATTAGTACTTGATGGGAGACCAGCAGGACACTGGAAAACATCCTGGAAGAAAGCAATGGTAAGCCACTTCTGCACTGTTGCCGAGAAAACACATGAATGTATCACTGTAATCTCCAGGAGTTTCAACTCATCTGGAGGTGGATATTATTTACTTTTATGTGCCATTCTCGGGAGGGAGGGAGGGAGAGAGAGAGAGAGATGAAATCACTTTTCTAATTCTTCCAATAGTGGAAACAGATGAAATAACTACTATGTCCTTGAACACAAAAAACTGATGGTGGCTTCACAAAAATAACTCAGTAGTAAGGCATACACTTTGCATGGGGAAGGTCCTCACATCAATTTCTAGCATCACCAGTTAAGCACATGCGGTATGAACATCTCTCTGGCTGAGAACCCAAAAGCTACTGCTAATCAGGATAACAAACAGAGCAAGTAAATTGTCTGATCTGATCAAATACAGCTTGCTAATTTGGGAGGGGAGGAAAGAATGTATGTGTTAGTGATTGAGCAACTCTTCATGTGCTAAATACTTTTTTGACCAGTTACTGGCTTCTGTGACTCAGCAGGAACCATGTTAATTTGAAACCCAAGGCCAGGTGCCATTCAGTTTTACCACTTCCTAAAAGATTTGCAGATAATATCCAAGTTAAATCAGTTGTTAACACTCCTTTCTGGCATTTCTTTTATTACAGTATATATATTTTGCTGACATTACTTTTCTTATACGTGTTTCACTCATATATATCAGAAAGCCAAACTAGACATGACATGGGAGCTAAGTGATTAGATCTTTCTTTAAAAAGCCAAAACTACTCAGCAGTCACATATGACTGCTTTAGGAAAATGCCACTCCAAAAAAAGATGTTTAACTCTTTCATTTCATGTCCTTTCTTCAGTATTATTCTGTACTCTGTACAGCTGATTTTAGCCATGAAGTCAGGAAAGTCAGAAATGGGTTCTGAAGATAGAGTGAATATCAGCTTTCACAGAATGTGATTTACATAACTAAAAAGATATAAATGAAAAGGATCAACCATTATCCCTCTGATCACCATATATCTGACTTCTCTGCAAAGTCAGGGATAAAAAACAAAATAGCTAAAGAAGATTTAAATAAACTCTTGTAGTACATAAAAATATATTATAATTCTTTTAATGGCAATATTAATTTTAAGTCAATTCTGAATATAAGCCATTCTGCAATGATCAGCTTTGGATACACTGCAGCAGCAACGCTAAACTAATGCTGAAAATTACCTCCCAGTTGAAATTATTGGAAATTTCCTCCAATTTTAGCTAAGTCGTGATCCTGTGGTTTTCCTGAACACACTACATACAGGGGAAGCTTTAGAAGAGAAGGGCAGCTATCCCCTTTAAGATTCAGCAACTCAGTACACCACCATTTCTCTGAGGCCACTGAAACACAAAATAGCCAGATGATGCAGCTTCAGGTATTGCATGTAATTTGGGAGCCAATCACAATTTCTTGGCCCACTGCAAATATTTTTATTCCAGAGTGGCCTTTTTTGGCAAAAAGAGAAGGGCTTCATCATGCATTTCCACTGTAAATGGAAATTCCTATCTCTGTACAATAGGGATACCCAGTCTGCTAACAGCCCTCCAGAGACCCTCAAACTGCTGCTGAATTATCATTTCTAATATGGCACAAGAGGAAAATTATTAAGGAGTATTTACATTCACTGTGTTTCATCAAATCTGACTAATCTGAATTTAATTAACTCAAGTTTAGTTTTTATTCTAAGCCTATCTACCTTTTGGGAATGTAGTGCCAAGAATAGTTCTCAATGGCAAATGAGGCCCTCAGCCCTCCAGCAAGATTGCATGTTCTTGCTCTAGAGCAGCCTTTTTCAACCTTTTTACCCTGGAGGAGCCTATGAAATAATTATCAGGTCTCAAGGAACCCCTGCATAAAAATCACCAAAAAATGCAAGAACTTCACAATACAATTCACTTATAAACCTACACAATCCATGTTTTACAACATCTAGAACATCAGCAAAGCAGCAGTCTGGCAGCTGAGTTGCAGTGTGTAAAAATTCCCATCTTGTGAGTGCTAGCATTGTGCGGTGTGCAGAGTTTAAAAAATGATTTTTTTTCAACCACAATCTCTTGCAGAACCCCTACTGACCTCTTGCAGAATCCTCCCATGGAACCCCAGTTGAGAAAGGCTGCTCTAGAGAATATCACCATCACTGTAACCTTATTTGGAAGGAACTGAACTTGCTCAATTTCTAAAATATGATTCAGAACAGATTAACACTTATGCACCCTTGATTTAGAACTATTTCTCAAACCGAGTTGCGGAACTGTAGGGATGACAAGTGATTTGAAAAGAACAACACTCTAGACATGTTCAAAGGCACTCTCACTTAGAATCATTTCACATTCCAAGATTTTGAAATCTGGAACTCAGTTGAGGGAAATTATTTAGAATTTAGAACAAAATTAAAACAGCTGTTGTCTGTGGTCTCACTGTTGCATATCTGAAAAAGAACTGCAAGGAAGATAAAGTAACAGCAACCTCTTTTCTTACTGTACACACAAAGTCAATACTAGTCACCCATGTGAGCAGGTCACATTACAGTAGACATTTGGGCTCTGAAAAAAGAATGCTTCTTTAATCTGGTACCTTCCAGAAATGTTCAGTCAGCTAAAATATCCAAATTAGAATATGCAGAGGAGGGTGCCAAGTTGGGGAAGGCTGAGTGACACACGTTTTATTCCCTCCTCCAGGTTTCCAACCCTGAAATTCTTTCCCTCATTAGTTACAGAATAGGGAGATTGCAGCGAAACATCTATAATCCGGTCCTGATAGTTTACAATTCAGTATTGAATGGACAGTAAAAGTTAGAGATACAGACATACACTCATAGAAATGGAAAAGTCTACCAACCAACCGTGCTCAAACCTTCAAGAGCAGATAGCAACCGCTCCAGAAGAAACAAAGCAAGAGAGGAGGGGAGAAATCAAGCGCTCGTAGATCTAACTCAGTTTAATCATCAACAAGATGACAAATCTCCCGAAGGGAATATTTGTCTCAACTTTTTCAGACGCTGTGCTCTCTCCTCCCATTCCCCGGCAGGGCTTTGGATAACTTGAGAGAGAAAGGGAGGGAACGAGAGACACCGGCAGGAAAGAGAGATCTGGAGGCCAGTCTGCTGCTTCCTTCCATAACCGATCGAAGGGAAGGTATCGGTGGAAAAGAGAAACGCAGGGTTGTGGAGAGGGGAGAGGGAAAAGTCGCTTGAGAGGCAAAGCGCGAGGAGAACGAGCCATTCCTCCTGGAAACACTCCCGGGGTCAGAGATACACTCTAATGCACAGTCCGACGCGTTCAAACTGCAGAGAAAGACGCGTCCCTTTCATTTACTGTACCCAGAAAAAGGAAGGCTCTGCTGTACTTACATCAAAACTTACTATTTCCCAACAGAGCAAAACAGGACAAACTACGCTGGCTTTTTGTTGTGTTTGAAAAGACTATCACGCGCCTCCAAATGATCGCATACCGTCAATAATCCGCCCCCTTCCCGTAAAAGCGAGTAAGGGCTGTCCCACCGCCTTCGAAGGCTCCAAAACGCAACCAGCCGGTCTCCCGGGGTGCGGGGAGGGAGAGGGCTCGTTCCCGCCGACACCCCCGTCAAAGATACGTACGCTGCCTTACGCCATGGCCCTCTTCGGATGCCTTGCTCCGGCTCGAGAGCTGGCCGGTGACGAAGGCGCACACGCTTCCCCGGAGTTCCGTGAAGCCCCTGGAGGAAGCGGCGCGTCCAGATCCTGGGTCTTCTGTGACTGCTGCGACGGGGGTATATCTGACGGGCGTCCCCTCGCTGTGGCGCGCCAAGTCAGACCCCGCTTTTTCTTTATTGCCCGCGAGCAAAGGTCCTATGGCGGCGGCAGCATCCACTGACCAGGTAACCAGGTTTTCCACAACAAACCTCCAGGTGCACGTCTCTTCGGCCAAGCACAGCGCCCCCGCCCCACCCCTTTCGTAGGCGCGAGGAGAGCAGCTACAAGCGAAGGGAGACTTGCGCATTAAAGCAGATCAGTTCGGGGCTCCCACGTTTCCAGACCGCTTGGGAGAAGTCCTTCACTGGGGTAATTTGAAATAAAAACAGACGCGGGGGGAGGTGTTCGAAGGTGTGACTTGGAGCTTAATGTATTTTTCACACACACAGACGACTTTTTCCCCCGAAGTCCCAGGTGGGAATGAAGCCGTTTGGGTCTGCCTGAAAGGATGCTCCCCCGTCCTAACGTAGAGGCTGCCTCCTGCCTGCCTCTGGAGGAAGGGGAAACGTTGCCGTCTGGAGGGGGGACGGGGAGGCTTGCCTCCTAATCCCCGGACGGGGCGTGGGGGGAGATGAAGGCCGGCGTCCGCAGGCACCCTCGGCTGCGATGCCCGCGCTTTTCTGAGGGCTGGGGCTGCTTCAGCGCTGGTGCGGACTGCCGGGGAAGGGGAGGGAAAGGACACCAGGCAGCGGAGACTATAGGGCGAGCGAGGGCGCGTGAGGGCTGCCAGCAGCCAGCCGAATGCCAGATCCTCAGGGGAGGGAGAGCAGGGCGGGAAACGATTAGTCAATAGGGGGCCTCGAGAACGCCAAACCGGAGCGCGAAACGCCCCCTCGTATCGGCACTGGCCCATGAGTCACCGGAGTAGCCAGGAAAGCCAGTGACAGGCTAGTGGTGTGACACTTCCTCGTCCTTCCCAGAGATTTTCTTTTAAAGTCCTCTGTCACAGGAATGTTAAAGCCAAATGCCCCACGTCTTGCGTAATTTTTCTCCTTTCTTCTCCTTTGTCTGCTCCCGTTATTGCTAAACAGACTAGAATGAAATCTCTCCCAGAGGCCCCCTCTGTCCAAATGTAATTCCAGAAGAGGGACACGTCATAAAGTTCATTTCAGATATTGTAGCCTGCTCAGCCTGAAGCTCTAGGGCAGGAGGTGTGAGGGAGAATTGAAAGAAAGGGTTGTGAAATCAGGGTCAGGATTTTTTTCACTGTCCTCATCCCTGAAACAAAGCAAACATCTGGGATGGTGGGTGCTGTAATCCAGCACAATTCTCTAGATTAAACCAAACTGTCGAACCAGCATCTGTCTGTTTGGTTATTACAGAATATGACATCCAAGCCTATAGCTCTTTGCTCAGGAATTGGATTCATTCCAATGGATCTTTGTGTTGTTGTTCAGTTGTTAAGTCGTGTCCGACTCTTCGTGACCCCATGAACCATATTGCG